CTAAACTTAACAAAAGCGTAGATAATATTTTAACAAATATAGTACATATTGTATACAAGGAATACATATGTTAATATATAGATATTAATTTTAATATCTAGAATAATATAATTGTACTAGATTATGTACACACGTTTTAGATTTTAGCTTTGTAAATGTTTACACAGAACTTTTCCACAAAAATTTTTCTGTCTTTATAGTGCTGTTAGTTACTACTTGTTAACATTAAAAATGCATATAAAAAACCCACAAAAATTCATTATAAAACGACTTTATATTCTTTGGTGTTGTTGTTTTTAAGCTTTTTTGTTTTTTTTTTTATTTGCATAATTTTGAGATGCTCTTAGATATCACTGTGGTGACATTTGTTTATTTTAATGTATATATTTCAACTAAGTTGAGCACTAATTGCATGCATAAGTGAAGTGAACCAGTTTAGTAAGCCAACAACTTCTGCACAGTTCGCTTATTGGTATGCGTTTACAGTGACATTTGGGCATAATAAGTCACTGGGATATTAGCACTTCAGTGATCACTTAAACTGCAGGTTTACTGAAAGTCAAAGATTTTTCGTTCTAATACGTTGAAGTAGTATTATATGGTGATTGAAATCTTGAAAGTTGCTCATACGCCTCCTTGAACGTGAAATAAAATATTATATTCTTTAAGATTTTATTATTTCATTAATAAATTAAATTTTGGACTGACCAATTTTTGGAAATTATTAAATTTTTGGCTTATATATATAATATAAACAAAACTCGTAATAAAATTTCAAAAATGAATAATAATTCTTTGCAATTATTGGTAAGAATATTTTTCATGTAAAGAACATGATTGTGAATAATATATGAATTTTCATACCTTTTAACAGTAAATAATAAATAGAAAAAGTAACGTATTTGTTACAAACAATGATGACACAAAATACGAAAAATTAACGAAATCATTCGTTGACTGTTAACTGAAAATTTTGTATGTTCTTGCAAAAATCGTTCACAATAGACGAATTTTTTAGTCTTGGCAACCATACGATTTGAGCTGTTTATTAGTTAAGCGATTTCAAAAAGGTTGAACTAAATAAGCCAGCAGTGTTGTTGTTTCATATGTTATTTTTTAAAATAAGTAGTTGTTCTTTTGTGATTTGCTTACAAAAGAAAATGTCTGTTGTTTATATTAAGAATTTAGTTTCTTTCGTCAAAATGGACGTTAAAAACCAATTTAATAATTATTAAAATGAATTTTAAATGTACTCTTGATTTGAATTTTTATAAATAAAAAAGTTATTATTAAAAAGATATTATTTTAATGTGAACTTTTTAATTAAAATAATGTGAAAAATGTGAAGCTTTTCAATGCCAATGCCATTGTGACTATAAAACTTAGTGATTAAATTTTTTCATTTGCATTCCACTAAATTTATTTATTAATTATTCTGATGACATCCAACTGATTTTAATCCTGCCACATAAAATAGTAAAAATATATTTGCTTAAGTGATTTTAATATATTATGTATAGGAGAATAAACTCTTATTAAAAAATGATAACATGGATTTCGATATAAATATTTTATGCTTGCTGCCTAACATACTCATTCATACGGATATAATATATGAACTGATACAATATTTATAACATACGTAATTTATTGTATCAATAAAATGCATACACTAACAATAATTCATATTAAGTATATAAACAAATATAATATAGTACATATGCTTCATATACACATACAAATACACTGTGATCACAAAAGTACACAACAAAGTTGCAACATACGTACGCACGGGAAACAATAGGAAAAAATTCAAACAAAATATATTAATTTTAATGACTATTTTCAGCGTACAAAACGTAACGTGCTTGTATTAGATTTTTTATTTTCTGCATGTAAAGAAAATACAAATAAAAATCTATTTTTTTTTTCAAGTGTATGGTGTATGTAACAAATTTGTCTAGCTCTCTGTGTGTGCGGTATAGGTGACAACGTTAAGCGTCTGTTATCCGTTGTAGGAGAATATATGTTTCGATGTAACTGTTGTAATATCAACGTTTTGTAGTAATAAGAAAAAAAAGAAAAAGCGCAGAATTACAGCAGAAACGAAAAAAATGTATAAATAAAGCAAAAATATGGCAACTCCATTGTTTTTAAAAAATCCATACTTAAAAAAGAAAAATTAAGGACCGACCGAAACAATACAAAACATTTTGTCGTTTTGTCCTGTGGCAAATGAAAAATATTTACTCTAGGAATTCGTGAGTACGTGCTAATAAAAGATAACAATAGATTTAGTGTATTTTTTATTTACCATTTTATTTCTGTGTACGTAATGTGTGTGTGTGTATGTGTGTGCAGATTATGTATATATCATAGGAATGTAACTTATATATAAATGTACAAAAACCACAGTCAAACAAATTGTTAATTGAGTACATATGTATTCGCATATGTGCACAGAAATACACAATAGGCTTGCATATAGGGATTTTACGATTTCAAACCGCAGGCAATTATAGGACCTTAATTAAACAAGTTGAATGCTAGATTCAGTATAAAAAGGTGTTTAGAACAGATTAAAAAAAAAAAACAACAATAAAACAAAAACGATAAAACAAAAAGGCAGGTTTATACATATTTTAAGATATAACTGTTTTATGTTGCAATGTAGAAGAACAATGCTGATAAGATGCTATAAATATTATTTTTTTTTTTGTTTGAAAAAGTTAGTTGATGAAACATACCCAACAATCGTCATATATATATATATTTACATATAAAATACTAATTTATTGGCTTATATAAATTGATATATGTTGATATAAATGTATATAATTTTTAAATCAAGAGCAACAAACATGCCTTATATGCAGATGAGAAAGAAAACATTTTTAGATAAATAATATTACAATCATTATTATTATATAAATAAACTCAACGGTATACATGTATAGTTAAGATATTATCATCAATATGTGTATGCAATTTTGTAGCTATTAATTTCTTTTTATTTTAATTGAAATATTAAGGTATTTACTAATTTTACATACGTAGAGGTAGCATATAGCATATATTTAGTTTAAAAAAATTATTTTCGTAAAAATGTGTATAATCCACAACCTTAAGTAAAAAAAAAAATAAAACACAACATGTTGCAGCCACCGTAAATCAACCGTTTTCATTAAGTAATGCCAACAATTATCGATGCAAAAACTAAACAGCAGTTAAATTTTCTATGCTCATACGTACTATGTTAATATATATGTAAATATATGGTTTTGAAATTATTATTTTTAATAACATTTCCGAAAAAAAATTACTAAATTTTTATTTTATAATTATGTGGTAGAATGCTATACAAAGTGTGTGGTAGTTGGAAGCCAAATACGATAACAATTTTACATTACAACAACATTTTTAATGAAATTAAAATTTCAGAAGTAGCTGTCGAACTGTGGGTGATATGCCGATTTCTGTCTAAAGTTTAATCAATAAATTGTTCAAATTAAACAAAATATGAAATGTAATCATTATGCTCATAACAAATGCATTATTTTTTCAAACCAGCTAATGGTTTGTATTCTGGTTTTTAGCTCTTATAGGCTAAATATTTTGAAAAAATAATTTCAAAAACAATTTTGGTTTAATAAAATTTCCGTTAAAAAAAAAAAAATTAATTTTGTGGATTTATTAAATCGTAAATGTAAATATTTTAAGAAATCAACAAAAAAAAAAAAATTATGTCTAAATTGACGCGAATATTAAATTAACTATTAATTTTTATTAATTTATATCATTATTTATTAATTCATTTATTTTCAATTTAATGTATATTTCATTTTAATAAGATTAAATAATATATGGATTTTTTTTTAATTTAAAACAAGTAATAATTTTTTAAATTATAATTTAAAAAAAGCAAAACGTACTGTTCAAAAAACCTCATTATTAATAAAATAATATTTTTTTTCCAATTAAATTATATATAATTATTTTCAATTTTTTTTAAACCCACGTTTAATATAAAAATTTATTTTTCAGACAACTACTTCTAAATAAAAATACATTAACGAGATTAAAATAATGTCATTCCATTTCATTCCATACCAAATCACCCTAAAACTATGCAATTACGAATGGGATGCAATATTGCGTAGCGCTAGTGGACACAAAAACTGTAGCGAACGTTAAAAAAGTATTTACTAGTAATTTGCTAAAGTATTTTTTTATTTTTGTAATTTGCAATGATATGCAATCTCAAGCAACTCACTATGCTAACAACATTTTGTTGCTGTTGCTGCTGCTGCTGTTGTTGTTGTTGTGCCTGCGCTTGCTGTTTTTGTTGGTGTTCAATGCCATTCGTCAGACCATTTGTCAATGCAATGGCCAAGCCGCCATTGTGTTGTTGCGCAGGAATGCCTAATACTGTTGGAGCGGTAGTAACTGTAGACGCTGCTGCTGTTGCTACTGCATGTGTGTTTGTGGCGCCATTATATTGTGTTTGTGTTGGCAGATTTGTCTATGATAAATTATTTTGTACTTTAGTTGAAAATATCTTCTTGATTACAAATTGATTCTACTAACTTAGATAAAAAAATTATTTGCTTTTTTTTTTTTTTTAAATTAATATTTATGACTTGAAATTATTTGATTTTAAACCGACACCAGTTAGCTGAAGTGATACTAACATTTTTGCATGCGAGTAATTTTTGCAATAAATTAAAATATATTACATAGTTGTTGTTGTTTATTCAACTCTTCGTTCATTTCTTCAATAATCACAGTAAGAAAAAAATATTTACCAAAAAGTAGTCAAAATTTTAAAAAAACGCTAGTCTAACTTTAATATATCTATCCATATATTTGTATAAACTAAAATTTAACTATAAAATGTTTTATAGTTTAAACGGACTAAAATGATTATATTACAAAGATGATCATAACATATATATAATCTCAAAGATATGTATATGTAATTGTTAACTTTTCCTTGGAGAGGTATTCAGTGATTATATATATATATAATATTCGATACAAAATGCTATATCAGATACAATTTAGATTCTACAAATATATATATTAGCAATGACTCGTCAACTATATATTTAAAAATAACTTTTTTTCAATTTTTCAGTTTAAGGTTAATTTGGACAGCTGAGTTCAATTTTGTCACCAATATTTCTTTTAGACAAATAGATCTGACAATAAGGGTTTAAAAAGCAAAATTTTAGGTTTAAAGGGTCGCACAAGTATTTTACTTTAAGAGAAACGACTCTTGTGTTTCAATAAAGTTGCTACGAATGAATAGATAAATATTCTGGTCTTTGACATCTTTTTCTAAATTTTTTGCTCTCCTTATCAAATGAACGACTCCTCAAATATTTCTTAAAACCGTCTTGTAGAAAATAAACTATTTTAAGAAATATTTAAAAAATCCCACGTTTTGTCGAGAATTCTTTCAATTTTTCTCCTTCCCATCAATTTGAAGGATATTAATTTGACAAATATTACTTAAAATCCTCCTAAAAAAAACCCTCCTACTGTTTTAAGAAATATTTAAAAAATGGAATGTTTTGTGAAAAAAAGAGGGGAATTAGAGAGAGGACATCGTCTAAGACAAAAATAGTTATCTCTTCATTCGTAGTAAGCTTACGGAGAACAAAAAATTTAAATCTTTTTAAATAAAAATATTTTTTATTTACTTAAAATGTTCAATTATGGAATTTACCCTAATTTTGCCAGTGAACCAAAATCATTGAAAAATTAAAACAAAGAATTTAGTATTGCACAGAATTATTAATAAAATAAAATTAAAAATATGATTTTGACATAGTTCTTATAATTGAAAATTTTAAAAGAACTAAATAAAAACAAAATTTTTATATTATGCCAATGATACCTACGTAGTCATATAGTAGTGATTGAAAATAAAATGTTTCGTAATATATTATCTAGTTATATTTTTTTCAGAGCAATAAAAAATTGTAGTACACTAATCTTACAGATATATATTGTCATAATATAGGACAACTAATACACGTTTAATTTATAGAAAAAACCCTAAAAGTAAGAATTATTTCTGAAGAATAGAATAGAACTTTTACTCTAAAGAATAGAACACTCTTCTATTGACAAATAGAAACATTTTAGAAATTTATAGTAGTCTCGGGCAGATTATTTAAAATTTTAAACTCTTTGTAACCTTACATATAATTGGCCTCGGCGATAGAGAGATAGAAGACAATTAATTAGATATACTTCGCATGCATAATAAATTGAACTGAAAACAAAAAATTAAAATGTGCTTGCAGCTGTGATAGATATAATACATCAATATTCAAATTTTAATAGAAATCATGAATAACTATATGAGATATATAGTTTAGAATATTCAAAAAGCAACAGAAAACGAGAGCATGATTTGCAGAGTAAAAGACATTGATCAATACACCAGGAAATCACAGAATATCTATACAATCATTAAGACTACAAATAGATTACATATCCACAAGCGGAAAGAAAACTTTTTGAAATTTTTTGTTAAATTCTGAAACGGACGACGATGAGTAGC